CTCGGTTCCCGGTGGCCTTGGCTGGCGGAAGCCCAGCAGCCAGTGTGGGGGCATGGAGGGGTGGAGAAGGCGAGTTGCACCCTTGTTCTTGTCCTGTCCTAGCACTCTCCCGAGGGCCCCACCCGAGGGCAGGTAGGAGTAGAGGCTGCTCCAAGAGAGGCTCCCTCCATTTTTTCAGAACAGAGTCTCACTTTGTTGCCCAGGCTAGAGTGAGTGCTGTGGCATCAGCCTAACTCACAGCAACCTCAAACTCCTGGGCTCAAGCAATCCTGCTGCCTCAGCCTCCTGAGTAGCTGGGACTACAGGCATGTGCCACCATGCCCAGCCAATTTTTTCTGTATATATTAGTTGGCCAATTAATTTCTTTCTATTTATAGCAGAGACGGGTCTCACTTGCTCAGGCTGATTTTGGACTCCTGACCTTGAGCAATCCTCCAGCCTCTGCCTCCCAGAGTGCTAGGATTATAGGCGTGAGCCACCGCCCGGCCCCTCCCTTTTATTTATTTATTTATTTATTTATTTATTTTTGAGACAGAGTCTCACTGTGTTACTTGGGGTAGAGTGCCGTGGTGTTAGTCTAGCTCACAACAACCTCAAACTCCTGGGCTCAAGATCCAAGCACCTCTTGTATATTCCTGGATACAGCTGGAACCCATTCTCCTAAGTAAAGTATCTCAAGAATGGAAAAACCAGCACCACATGTACTCACTAGCAAATTGGTATTAACGGATCAACACCTAAGTGGACATATAGGAGTAACATTTATTGGGTGTCGGGAGGGGGGAGGAAGGGACGGGTATATACAACCACAACAAGTAAGAAGTGCGACGTTTGGGGGATGGACATGCTTGAAGCTCTTACTAGAGGGGGGAGGGGGTATGGGCAATATAAGTAACCTTAAGACTTGTGCCCCCATAATACGCTAAAATAAAATAAAATATATTAAAAAAAAAAAAGCTTGGGTCAGCTGGGCACAGTGGCTCATGCCTATAATCCCAGTACCCTGGGAGGCCAAGGCGGGAAGATCACTTGAGCTCAGTTCAAGACTAGCCTGAGCAAGAGCGAGACCCCGTCTCTGCTAGAAATAGAAAATGTAGCCAGGTGTGGTGTCATGTGTCTTTAGTCTCAGCTACTCAGGAGGCTGAGGCAGGAAGATTGCTTGAGCCCAGGAGTTTGAGGTTGCTGTGAGCTAGGCTGATGCCACTGCACTCTAGCCTGGGCAACAGAGTGAGACTGTCTCAAAATGAACAAACAAGAAAACCCAACACACAAAAAACCCCACAAAACTCTGTTTTTGTTGTGTCCTGTGTCCATTAATGCTGTATTTTCTTCCCCACTTCCTTTGTGATTTCTTTGATCCATGGGTGATAAGTGTTCAATTTCCAAACGTTTGCTGTTTTCCCCCAGATTTTGTTGTTGGTACTGATTTTTGGTTTTAATTCCATTGTGGTCCCAGGATATACTTTGCTGATATCACTCCTTTTAGGTTTATTGCGCCCTGTTTTGTATTTCACGTGGCTTGAACGTGTAGCTGTGTGGGACCGCCGCCATGGCCCAGGTACGGAACAGCTCCGCCCCAGGGGTTCCTCCAGCCACCTTGCCATGGCCAAGCCCTCCCCCCATCCCCTGCCCTAACTCCTGGCAATCAGTTCTCCTCTTCTGTGATTTTGTCATTTCCAGAATGCCGTATAAGTGGAATCACACGGTGTGTAACCTTGGAGACTGGCTTTTTCCCCTCTGCGTGGTTCTCTGGAGATCTGTCCAGATTGTTGGTTTGTGTCAATGTGTCATCGCTCTTCACGGCAGAAGAGTGTCCCACCGTGTGGATGGGCCTGGCGCAGTGTGGAGCCTGTTGCTAGAGGGCGCTGGAGGGCACCGCGGGAGGAAGGGGCCTGCTGGGCCTGGTTCCAGTGTGCTTGCTTCTCCCGCCTTCTGTGGCGTGTCCCTGCCAGGAGTTTAACAGCTCCCAGTTGGTGGCTTCCCAGTGAGTCTCCAGAGCACCCCGGTGAGGAGGATTCTGGCAAGTCCCCTGGCCCCTGTCCAGCCCCCGTGAGTGTGTCTCCCGTGCCTAGTGCTGGCTTCCCGGTGAGCCCTGCTGAGCCCCAGCGGGAGGTCTCCTGCGGCTTGGCCTGGCCTGCTGCGCCTTGGCGGACTCCACACGGGGCACGTCGCAGCCGGTGTGTCAGGCCACGTCTGAATCTCGGCCGTGGCGGGTTCTGAGAGTCGGTGCTGTCTAGGTTTGTCGCCTGGTCCTGGTGGTCGTGCTGCTCCCTGGACCTCACGAGCTTCTGTCTCCGAGTGTCTTTGCACTTCGTGGAAACCCTCTGTTACTGTTTAACCATTCTATGTTATATATTTCCTCTTCAAGTTATTCGTGTGACGATGCACACGGTGTTTTTTCTGCTGTACATAATGTGTCTGTTTTCTCTGGCTGCTTTTAGGATTTTTGTCCCTATCTGATTAATGTGCTTTGTGGGGTGTGTTTGTCCTGCTTGGGTCTGTGGGGATCTGTTGGATTTATCATTTTTATGAAGCGTGGAAGCATTCCAGCTGTCCGCAGAGCCCGTTCTGCGCGACTCCAAGCCCATGGGTCTGCGCATGTCTTCTCTAGGCATTTTCTCTTTGTTTCATTTTGGGAGGTCGTGTTTCTGCATCTTCAAGTTCACATCTTTCTTCTGAGCTGCTAATTCCAGTCTGAGTATTTTCCACTTGGGCCATTGTATTTTTCATTTCTACAAGCTCCATTTTGGTCTTTAAACAGTGTTTTCCATTTCTCTTCTAGTCATGATCATCCTTTTGAAAAAACCCTCGAGCATATCTAGTACATTTGAAATAGCTGTTTCCTTTTCTGCTAGTTCCCTCATCTCTGTCCTTTCCAGGTCTGTTCTGTCCACCACAGATGGCCCCAGCTTACGATGGCTCACTTACCACTTTTTGACTCACAGTGGGTTTTTTGGGACTCAACCTCGTCATAAGTTGAGGAGTATCTGTGATTTCTCCTCTGCTTATGGGACATGTTTTTCTGCCACTGAATATGCCTGGTAATTATTATTATTATTTTTTGAGACAGAGTCTCATTCTCTCACCCAGGCTGGGGTGCAGTGGCACAATCATAGCTCACTGTAGCCTCGAATTCCTGGGCTCAAGTGACCCTCCTGCCTAAGCCTCCTGAGTAGCTGGGACTACAGGCATGTGCTACCATGCCCAGCTAATTTTTTTGTTTGTTTGTTTTGGTATGGATGGGGTCTCATTATGTTGCCCAGGCTGGTCTCTCTGGGCTCAAGTGATCCTCCTGCCTCGGCCTCCCAAAGTGCTAGAATTACAGGTGTGAGCCACTGCGCCTGGCCTGTCTAGTAAATTGTTGACCGAGTGCCTGTCATTGTGAAGTTTTCATTTTGGAGTGCTGGGTTTAATTATATTCCTGTAAAGAAAATTACCCTCTTTTTGGTAGGCAGTTAAGCCACTTGTAGACTAATTTGAGCTTTCTCAGGTTCGTTTTTCATCGCGTTGGGGCAGGTCTGCAGCAGCCTTTTCCTGGGGGTGGGTTCGTTTCGTGTCTAAGGTGTGGCCCTCCCAGGGTCCTGTGGGGTGCCACGTGTGTTCAGTGCGGTCACTTCCTTGCTGGCTGGAGAGAACGAGAGCGATTCCTGGACCTGTTTAAGGTCTGGGCGTGGTCTGTCTTAACCTCCTGGGGATCGTCATTGCCTCACAAGTTAGTCTTTGTGGCATCATGTGTGTAGGTTGGTATCCAGAGGTGTCCCCAGGGCACCCCATGCCTACTTCCCTGCACCGGGGGCCCTCTGCAGGTGCTCTGTCCCACACCCTGGCCGACTTTTCCTCCAAACCTGAAACATATTTAAATGTAAATACATTTATAGAATAATAAATAAACAGAAATAAACTTGTGCCACCTTTAATCAGACTGCTCTCCTAACTCACGCAGGCCCCGCGGATCCAGCCCCACAGGACTCGCGCGGTCCTTCCTCACGTGTCTGAGGAGACCATGCCGTGGTTGGGGGTGCTGTCCCTTCTGGGGAGTCTGTGTAAACACCCGGCCACATCTGTCATGCCGGGGGCAGGAACAACAGTGGATGTGTGGGTAACAGGTGCTGCCGTGTCACGGTCGCGGGATGGGGGTGATGTGGCTGGGGGGGGGTCCCACCTGGCCGGCCCCGGCAGCCTTCTCTTCTCCAAGGGCTCCTAACTCTCAGCAAACTTGGTGTTCATGGTCGTCGTGGTGGCGCTCTTGAAAAGGGAGTTATCCTGGTGAGAGACGCAGACATGGACTTGTGGGTGCGGGGGGTTTTCGGGGTAGGATCTTCCCCCCTGAGGCCACTAGGTCCACGTGGCAGCCGTGGCCCCGAGGAGGAGCCAGAAGCAGGCTGGCCGTCCTGGCTTCCAGCCTCAGTGGCCAAGCTCACCCATGGCAGCGTCACACGAGAGGGATGTTCGGGGAGGGCTGTGTGCGGCCACTCAAGGCTGACCATGACCTCCCGCAGCAAGAGGTCGCAGTGTGGGAGGTGCCTCCTCCATGTGGGACCCCCGAGGACGGCCACTTACGTTGTTCCCCGGGGACTTCAGCTTCTCCTTCTCGAAGTGCTTGTACTCCCGGAGGTCGCTCAGCGTGGGTCACAGGCTTCCCGATGACTAGCAGGAGGACACCAATGAGCACGATGCCGGCCACAATGCCCCCCACGATGGCGGCGGCACTGGCTTTACACTCTAAGGAGGAAGCACAGGCCAGAGCGTCGGTCCCTCCCTCTCTGACCCGGCCCGTGTGTGTCCTCGGTCCACGGTCACCGCACAGCACTTGGTTGGACGGAGGGTCCCTCTGCCCGGCTCACCGTGACCACCATGGCTGTGCGTCCACGAGAACCTGGCCCTGGCCCCCCCAACAGGCCAGGCCCTGTGGTTCCATCTGACACAGAGGAAGGTGGGGCCCAGGTCACCAGCCAAGCAGGGCAGAGGATCGACACCCAGGAGGAATCAGTGCCTGAGGGACCCCTGCCCTCTGACCGCAGAGGTCAGAAGCGGGACTGGCAGGGACGAGTCTGCCCCAGGGAGGCGTTCCTCAGCACCAACGGCAGGAACCAGAGCCAGGCGCTCAGGAGGGGGAGGCCTCCGCGGGGCTGAGCAGCCGAGGGTCCCGGAGCCATGGCGGCTTACCTGACCCTGCCGCAGCCCCTGCCCACACGGCACAGCACCCGCGCTCAGTGCCAGCCTGTGGCCCAGTCCCCAGCTCCCTCCTGTCACCTTGGCCAAGGTTGCACAATCGGACGTGAACCTGAACCCGTCCACGGAAGCAAGCTGGAGGGGCTGTCGCCCTGGCAGGCGGAGTCTGCAGTGTGGCCCATGTGTGGGTCATGAGGTCCAGCTGTGTCACACAGGGGGCCTGAGGCCCCCCTGCCTCCTCAGTCTCCATTCTGGGGAGGGGTTTGGGGGAATCTGCTGCTGAGACCTGTGCTAGAAGGTCTCAGTCCTGCTAGAGGCCTGTGGTCCCAGCTACTTGGGAGGCTGAGGCAGGAGGATCGCTTAAGGCTGGGAGGTTGAGGGTGCAGTGAGCTATGACCACACCTGTGAATAGCCCCTGCCCTCGAGCCTGGGCAACACAGCGAGACCCCCTCTCAAAAAATAAAAATCGTCCTGGTGGGCTGCTAGCCTGCGCCTGTTGGGGTCCCCTAGTGGCCTCCCCAGCCTCTGAGCGGGAATTGGCAGGGACCCTCAAAGCCCATCCCATCGTGTGTCTGCTTAGCCCACATCCCAGTGTCCCCGACCTTTTGTCATTGTCACCCAGTGGACCTCCTGACTCACCTCCCTACCCTCACATGCTGCCTGCTGGCCCCAGACCCTGGACAGTCACTTGTGCCCCCAATCCTCTCCTGTGTGCCACTCAAGGGCAGGCTCTGTCCATGCCTCCCCCTGCCCCCGCCCCCTCCCCCACCCCGCCTGCCTCCCCGCTGACGGTTCCTGGACTGGGCAGCCCCCAACAGGTCTGCGTCCATCTGGCCGCCAGGCGGCTTTTAAAGACACCACTCGATGCATCATTCACTGTTCTGAAAACCTGCAGTGGCTTCCTGGCGTGTTCAGGAACAGACCTGAACCTGCCTGGGCATCATGGGGCCCCCTAGTGACCTGGCGCACTTGGCCTCCACCCACACACCCTCCTGGTCCCCTCTGGGTGCTCTCCCCTCTGCTCCCCAAAACCTCTGACCCTGGGGACCGTGCGCCACCGTCATCTGCACACTGTGGGGCCTTGGCGTCCTTGCATGTTGCCGAGTGCCACTTGCCTGGCGGCAAATGGCATTTGGGAGATGGGGGTGCCCAGCCCCCCTCAGCCTCTCCAGGACTGAGACTGAGCACCAAGGTGTTCAAATCCCCTCCAGGGGTCCCTCTGCAGCCCCCTGGAGTCTGTTGAGCCCCCTGCCCTGGACCTGCACCCCACCAGCCTCACCTCCTCTCTCCTCCACGTGGATGTCATAGCGGTCCCACCCGTCCTGCTGCCACAGGGTGTAGGTCATCCAGCAGCCCTCCGAGTCCCGCTCCTTGCACCTCCTGCTGCTCTGGGCAGGGACTTCCAGCAGCCGCAGGTTCCTGCACGCCGCGCTGCAGTTCTTCTTGAGGGGGCCCTTGTCGAACCGCAGGCACTCGGCGCAGGAGCTGCGGGAGGCCGGAGGGGCGTGGGGAGCGCAAATGTGAGAGGATGTGGGGGGTTAGAGGTTGGTCATGTGGGGGGCTTGGGCCTGTGCTCCACCATGAGGAAGGTGAGGTATCTGTAGGGCCGAGGGCAGGGTATGAACGGGGGCGGAGGAGCCTGGACACCTGCTCCCGGCCACAGATGTGCACCTGGAGGAGAGGCCTGGGAGAGCTGCAGCCCAGAAGTATTTGGAGGGACCCTGCCCTTCAGCAGGCTCGGGTGCTCCCAGGGGAGCCCAGCAGCAGGAGGTGGCCCTGCACAGTGGGGAGCTGCCCACCCCTGCTGCACTCACCTGAGATTGCTGCAGGGCGAGGGGCAGGTCAGGCACTCCAGGCACAGGGGCGGCTGGTACTCCCTCTGGCACACACACTGGTTGCAGCTGCACCGGCCGCGGCCACTGCATTCCACTTTCCGCTGGTTCAGGCAGCCCTCGGTGTTGCGCTGGCACTGGCACGCGGAGCCATCATAGCCCTCCAGGCAGCGGCACTTGCCACAGAAGCAGAGGCCCCTCTCTGGAAGACAGCGGGGCGGGAGGCTCAGCTCCTGCCGGGCCCAGGGACGAGGTCCACCTGCCACCACCCCGCCCCAGCCCTTCCTGCAGCCCCACACAGCGACCGGCCGCGCCTCTCTGCGGTGGGCGGAAGTGCTGAGACACGGCAACTGACCACCGGCCAGGCCTTCCCGCCCCCAGCCCTGAGGCAGCCTCCTGGCCCGTCCAGCCTCCACGTACCCCCCCAACCCCCGTGACTGGGCCTCCCAGTGGGCTGGGACCATTGCCCCCCTTGGGGCCCTCCCCATGGGGATGAGGAAACTGAGGCAGGGCAGGGTGGCCTGAGGTCCTGCTGCCAAGCTCCTGAGCGAGCCATTTGCTGTCTGTGTGTCCCCCACGTGCGTCTCTGTGGCATCCCTCGGGCGGCCCTCCAGTGCCGTGGAAGAAAGCGCCTGCACGCCTGCCGCCCCCAAGGCATCCCTCTTCTGTGCTTCCCACGCGTGGGCTCAGTGCCTGGGAGAATTAAAGCCCCGGGCCGAGCGGCCTGGCCCGCTGCAGAGGGAAGCGGCTGCCCCTCCCGCAGGCCCTGCCCAGGGCAGCGGAGGCGGACCGGCAGCTCATTGGGCCGCCGCAGGTCCGTTGGTTGTAGCCGCTCGCAGGTTGCATTGTCAACCACTCGCAGTAGCGGCCCGTACGATCTGCGCTTGTTGCGCGACCGGTGGCCTGGTGTGGCACACGCACTGTCCGCAGACGCGGTCCCCCAGGCCGCCGAGCACCACGATGGGAGCCTTGTGTCCTTCCGGCATGCTTCCTCCAAGCCTCCTGGGCTGCTCCGGCCCTGCCGTCTGGCCACTACGTTTTTCCCGATGTAGCCAGCGGTCGCCCTGGGGGGACACGTCAGAGTCTTCCGGGCCCCATCTGACAGCCACCGTTGCCCCGTCCCTCAGGCCTGCCCTGGCTCGGGGCTGCTGGACACTCGCTGCCACGGCCAGTGCTCCTGCCCAAGGCCTCCTGAGCACGACCGATCTGCTGAGGCCGGCGGCCGGCCCGGCACCATCAGAGAGACCGGGCTCCGCTTGGAGGACGTCCGAGGAGGGCAGCAGACATGTGACCTTGGCCATGAGTGGTGGCCTCGGCCGTGCTCACTGCGCACTGTGGCCCAGGGCTGTGCACAGGTACATGCGGGTTCTGGCGCTCCACGACAGCCAGTGCCTGCTTCCGCGTGCTCCAGGCTCCCACCGGGCTGGCGGGGACTGTCTGCCGTGTCTTCACCTTCACACCTGCCGCCACCGGCTGCATTTATGTGCTGCCCGGGCAGGTTGCCAGAGGATTCCGGGACAAGGGTCTATCCAGCAAGGACAGCAGTCCCAGGCCACTGGCGCACAGGTGCTGAGAGCGTCCTGGCAGCCACAGAGACGACCCCCGACGGGCTGTCCTGCCTCCCAGAGGAGGAAGCTGTGGGACAGAGCGTCTCGCTGAGCCGCGGTGGCACCGCTGCCACCGGCCAACTTCCAACTGAGTCGGCCTCGCTATCCCTCCGGGAGGCCACCCAAGAGCGGCACACCGGGACGGCGGGCGGAGTGGCTGCTGACGTGGGCACAGGGACAGCCGCAGAGACCACCACGTGCTGGGCTGCAGGAGGGGTGGTGGGGCCTGGGGGTCCGTGGCACTTCCACAGGGGTGTGGCCGGGCAGAGCAGGCAGGAGGGGAAGGTGGCCGGGCACAGGGTGGCACCTGCGGGTCGCCCAGCAGCTCTGGCCAGGCAGGCTGTGCCTCCGGGCCCCTGAGCAGGTGGGGACTGGGATGGGGGGGACACAGCCATCCAGTCCCAGGGCAGGCAGGACCTTATAGGGGGGCAGCAGGAGGCAGGGACTGGAGTCACAGTGGTGAGAAGAGGACATCCTGGGGGGGGGTCAGTCTGCTGTGGGTGGCCACTGGATTGGCCTTGGCCTGTGTCACGTAAAGCTCCCCACTGTGCACACCTGCGCCCTCCCTTTGCCCTGAGGCGGGGCCCCCACTCCTTACCACACACCCCAGGCCTTGGTGTGTGCACACCCAGGGGTGGCCTGCAGGGCCTGGGCTACCAGAGCGGTCACCTGTCCTGGGAGGCCTTCTGGCTGCAGGGGTTCCCAGGGCTGCCGGCCTAATGGCCCTGGGTTCCCAAGGTCGCAGAGAAGTGGGCCCCTAGGGGACAAGTGAGGCTGGGCAGAGAAAGTCACCTGCCCCAGGCACATCCAGCAGGGCTCCTTGCGCCCCTGAGATGGGTCTCCCTGCTCTGGTGAGAGGCCCTGCCCACCAGTCCCCCTGCCGTGGACCCTCCGTGGCCGAGCGTGGGGAGTGCAGCTGGCATTGCAGATGCCCACCCAAGGGCAAGGGCTTTCGGAGGGCTCTGGGTGCAAACCCCAGTTCTCCTCCACCTGCCACTGCAGCACGGGGTCCCTGGGGTACCTGCACTGAGAGGTGGGGTGGAGTAGAGCACCATGGGCCGCCTGCACCTGCCTCACCTACAGGCATCTGGGGGTAGGGGAGGGGTGCTGTGGGCCACTTGCAGATGACTCACCTACACAAACCTGCCCTGTGGGGTGGCGGAGGGGAGCTGTGGGCACCTGCACCTGTCCCACCTGCACACACCTGTCCTGTGGGGTGGAGGAGGGGTGCTGTGGGCACCTGCACCTGCCTCACCTGCACACACCTGTCCTGTGGGGTGGGGGAGGGGTGCTGTGGGCGCCTGCACCTGCCTCACCTGCACACACCTGTCCTGTGGGGTGGGGGAGGGGTGCTGTGGGCACCTGCACCTGCCTCACCTGCACACACCTGTCCTGTGGGGTGGAGGAGGGGTGCTGTGGGCGCCTGTACCTGTCCCACCTGCACACACCTGTCCTGTGGGGTGGAGGAGGGGTGCTGTGGGTGCCTGCACCTGTACCACCTGCACACACCTGGCCTGTGGGGTGGAGGAGGGGTGTTGTGGGCACCTGCACCTGCCTCACCTGCACACACCTGCCATGTTGGGTGGGGGAGGGGCACTGTGGCAACCTGCACCTGCCTCACCTGCACACACCTGCCATGTCGGGTGGGGGAGGGGCACTGTGGCAACCTGCATCTGCCTCACCTACAGACACCTGGCCTGTAGGGTGGGGGAGGGGCGCTGTGGCCGCCTGCACCTGGCTCACCTGCAGACGCCGCACTCCAAGGAGCCCTTGCCCTGGCAGAGGCTGCGTTCCTGGCTCTGGTCCCGGCACTGGCACTCACACTGGGGAAGGACACGCACGGTCACCGTGTCCGGGAAGCCCAGTGGCCGGATGACAAACGTCTGCTCCTGGATGCACTTTGTGGCCGTGACCTTCACCTGGAAGGTGATCTGTCAGGGAGTGGCAGGGCTCAGGCGGGGCCCTTGGGCAGGCAGGTCAAAGCCCTGCTCCTGTCCCCTCGCCCACTGGCCTCTGCAGGGCCCCGGGAGGGAGCAGGTCAACGTGGGGACTTCCAACGTCATGTTAGAAATGTGATGGAAGCAAGTATTTCACTGAATATTAGTTCAGCCAGCGAAAGCAAAGAATGAATGATGAGATTATAAATTTAAAACTAAAACATTAGGGAAATAATGCCTATTTCCAGCCGTCTTTGTGGCCCATGCCTTAATGTTTTTGTCAAAAAAGCAAACCAAACCAAAATCCAGAAAACGCGCTGGTCCAGATTTCTGGTTTGCACCTGCTCTGCGCGTGCAGTGCCCACCCCCCGAGCGCTGTCCTCGCTCGTTCTCTCATTCTACACTGGCTCAGTCTACACTGGCGGGACCCAGGGATTCAGGTATGACTTTGGGGGCCATGGAGTGTGCTCAGCCCTCCCCGCATCCTCCTCTTTTTTTTTTTTTTGAGATGGAGTCTCACTTTATTGCCCAGGCTAGAGTGAGTGCCGTGGTGTCAGCCTAGCTCACAGCAACCTCAAACTCTTGAGCTCAAGCAATCCTCCTGCCTCAGCCTCCCGAGTAGCTGGGACTACAGGCATGCGCCACCATTCCTGGCTAATTTTTTCTACATTTTTTTAGTTGGCCAATTAATTTCTTTCTATTTATAGTAGAGACGGGGTCTCGCTTTTGCTCAGGCTGGTTTCTAACTCCTGACCTCAAGCAATCTGCCTGCCTCTGCCTCCCAGAGTGCTAGGAATACAGGCGTGAGCCACCGCGCCCGGCCCCGCATCCTCCTCTGACATTGGTGACACAGACTCCAGGAGGAGGCGTCTGCCAGGGCAGAGTGGACATCTGAAGGTAAGAAGACTGGGCCAGCCAGTGCACGCTGCCTGCGTCCCTCCTGCTCATCCCCAGGGGGCCTCAGCTGTGCGCCCTCCTAGGACTGGGGTGCTTCCAGCTGTCCCTGGGACCCTGCCAGCATGTCAGGACAGGGACCTTGGTGGCACAGCCAGGCTCACCGGGACGTTGATCTGCACGCCGTCGCAGTCCCCTCGGGGTTGGCCCGTGATTGTCACTCCATTGCTGCAGAAGGAGTCGTAGGTGACTCTCAGGGTGTCGGGGAGGGCGCCGTGCTCCAGGAAGACCCTGGAGGAGAGTTTCTGTGGGCAGAGAGTGGCGCGCTGAGGGCTGAGCCGTCTGCCGGCCTGGCTCCCTCTCGGGTCTGGACCGGCTGCTTCCCACGTCCTTTGGGGTCCCGGCGTGGACTAATGACACACACGCCAGGGCGAGTGCCACGGGAGGTGCTGTGGATGGCGGGGCTGCCAACGCCCAGGTTCTGCCCCAAGATAGGCCAAGTGCAGGGACCACCGCGGACACGCGTGGAGCCCGTGAGGGCGGGGCTGGAGGGCAGGGCCCGGCACAGGGAGGAGCTGGAGAGGTTGCTTAGGTGATGGGACAGCCAGAGTCACAGAGACAGAGATGAGGAGAGACGGAGACACAGAGACGAGATGGGGATAGACAGAGACTGAGAGCCAGAGTCACAGGGACAGAGATGGAGAGAGATAGGGACTCAGAGCCAGAGTCACAGAGACAGATGGGGACAGAGACAGAGATGGGGACAGACAGAGACTGAGAGCCAGAGTCACAGAGACAGATGGGGACAGAGACAGAGATGGGGACAGACGGAGACTGAGAGCCAGAGTCACAGGGACAGAGATGGGGAGAGATAGGGACTCAGAGCCAGAGTCACAGAGACAGATGGGGACAGAGACAGAGATGGGGACAGACAGAGACTGAGAGCCAGAGTCACAGGGACAGAGATGGGGAGAGACAGGGACTCAGAGCCAGAGTCACAGAGACAGAGATGGGGAGAGAGACTCAGAGCCAGAGTCACAGAGACAGAGATGGGGACAGACAGAAACTGAGAGCCAGAGTCACAGAGACAGAGATGGGGACAGACAGAGATTCAGAGCCAGAGATGGGGAGAGACAGGGATTCAGAGACAGAAACACAGAGACAGAGATGGGGAGAGAGACTCAGAGCCAGAATCACAGAGACAGAGATGGGGACAGACAGAGACTCAGAGCCAGAGATGGGGAGAGACAGGGACTCAGAGACAGAGACACAGCGACAGAGATGGAGAGAGACAGAGACAGACATGGGGAGAGACACACAGAGACAGTGGGGCAGAGAGACAGAGAGTGACAGAAGGAGAGACCAGAGACGTTTAGATGAGCGAAGAGCGTTGCATCTGTCTTCGCTGGTCGTGTGGGAGACGCCAGTGCTGGCGCTGAAGCGGCTCTGGGTCTGGTGTGGCAGAGGCTCGGAGCAGCGCGGCACACCCGCGTTCTTGGCTCTGGGCTAAACTCAGTGAACCAAGCGACTTGTCTGGGTTCCCGCGTGCCGTGGCGCTTTCAACTGCCACGGACGCTGTCTGCGCCTGAGAGGGTCACAGCCGACTCCAGGACGTCGTTGGCTCCGGCTTGGATTTCCAGACGGGACCTCTGGGACCGCCTCTGAGCGGTTCCTGGTGCCCGCCCGTGCCACCGGTACAGTGGCCCCACAGAGCAGCCTGGTGCAGTGACTTGCCACACGCCAGGCAGGAGTGTGACGGACGAGGGCAGTCCTGCCGGCTGTGCCCAGGTGGGTAGGGGGAGCCGGACCAACCCCAGAAGGACGCCTCGACCCGAGCTGCTTCGTGGTGCCCACGAGACCACCCGGCATTCTCTGGGGCCCTCGGCCCGTGGGCATTACCATCCCCAGCCGTGCCACCCCCACTTTCTCCATAGCAATCCAGCAGGAGAGCCGAATGGGGGGTCTTGGAGCCCGTCGTGTCGGGGAGCACAGGGGCTGCGATGGGGCGCACGCCACGCAGCAGCGGAGAGGACGCGGGGCTCCGGGGGAGCAAAATCCGGGGCGGCGTCCAGGAGCCCGAGGCATGCCGGGGCTGCAGGAGCTGCATCCGCCTGGAAGGCCAGCTGCCCCCCCACCCTCCCGCTGCGACCTCACGTTTGTAGCTTTGATGAGCTGGAAGCCACGTTGCTGGAGTCGTTCGGGAAAGCTCCCACGGGGGGCCGACTTGGATTGAATCTCCGTGAGTTCGTCGGAAGACCAGGCCGGCACGGCTAGAACCCGTGCCTCGGAAACTCGCCCAGGCTCCCGCCAGGTGTGAAAGGCTCCAAGCAGCCCTTCAATGGGTTCTCCTGTTCACGTAAGCAGAAGCCACCCGCAGAGGACACCTGGTAAGTTGGACAACCGGCTCTTGGAAGCAAAAGGCCCTGCGTCTCGTGGCGTCCTGCTCACTTTGCGTTGTAGACAACTGTGGCCTGGGTGCGATTCCAGACTCGTTTGGCCTCATGAGGTGGGATGATAGCATGGCTGCTCACCGTGGTCGTAGCGTTTCCACAGGACGACACGTGGTGGAAGCAAGCCAAGTGCGACGGACCACAGTAAGATGTGGTGAAATCTTCAGGACGTATAGTCGGTGCTGAGTGTTTGATGAGTTACGGGAAGTTACATTTAATGCTGACTGCCTGTGGCGCCGATGCGTGGCAGGCAGTTCCAGGGCTTCGCGTCCACCTGGGTCGTGGAGCGGAGCTCCCTGAGACACCAGGTGGCGGCCTGACTCGCCCCATCCCCACCCAGCTCAGCTCAGGGCCGCGCCGTCTCCCAACCCGGATTCATCCTTCTACGCCCTGAGCAGGCGGGTGCGGTGATTGGCGCGGGCTGCGCAGAGCCCGCACGAGAGCGGGATCGGCGGGTCGTGTCCAAGAGTGGACGAAAGCCGAAAGTGGACTTGTGCCGAGGCGAAGGAGCTGCTTGTCACTCGGCCACTGACCGTGATGAGTAATGCTGCGCCCCTTATTGGCAGCTGCCTCTGAGTCACCGGGTGGATCACTGCCCACACCGTCATGATGGAGGAAATGTTTCAGTCGTGTCCTCCGCTGTGATCAGCCACCGCAGTGAGTTCAGCGGCTGGCTCTGATGCTGCATCTTACCAGCAAGTCGTGTAGCCTAGAGCGCGTCGGGAACCCCAACCGCTGGAGCATCCTGGAACGCGCACCGGAGGCCTCTCCCAGCACCTGCAGTCTTTTCTCGGGCCAGGCCACACACGTGGTCATTGTCAATGCACGACATGCAGGACACGCCCTGGCCAGTGCGCTGGAAACAGCCTGTGCCTGCCCGGCCACTGCTGACAGGGGGGGCCACGCCCCGGCAGAGGGAGCAAGGGCTGCAGGTGCCACCCCACCACGGGAACGCCGTCCTTTTCAGTCCTGCCGCCGCTCGCTCCACACTCTGATGCCAGTGGCCGCCATCTTCAGAGAGAAGTGGACGGGGGAGGCCCTCTGCTCTGGGGGCTGCGGGGGCCGAGGGCACCCCGACAACATGAGTCGGGCTCTGGCTTCCTCCCAGGGGCCTCGGTTTCCACATGGGAGCGTAGAGTGAGCTCCCTGGCCGTGGGGTCTGGGGACGTCAGGCCTGATGCCATTGCGCTTTCCAAACCCAGGCACAGGGCACAGACGGCGCATCCTCCCCCAGGCGGGGACGGCCGTTCCACGCCAGCGCCAAGGCCCGGGTCGCGTCTGCTTTGGTGTTTGCTCCTGCTGGTTAGCGAGGGCTTGTCCCAGGCTGGGTGGGCTGCCCCAGAGCCACCGGCTAGCGGTCACCTCTCCCCTCAGTTCTGCCGCCCTGTCTTCCTGGACGGGGCGAGTAGATGCTCAGAGCGCCCCACTGAGGGGAGGCCCCAGACTGGTGCCGGAACGTTCCGTGCCTGGTGGCCGACCGGGGCCGGCCTGCGTCCTGCGCAGAGGCCAGGTGGGGACGTTGCTGGTGCTGTGGGCTCGGCAGCCTGGCTCACGTCCTGACCCTGCTGTTCTCCGGGACGCGTGCTTGGGCTGGTGCCACCCTGCCCTGCCCTGGCCTCCTTGTCCGCAGTGGCCGCCCCGACGCCCATCCCTGTTGTGTCCCAGCAAGCTTGGGGACACCACCCCTAACACCAAGGTGCTGCTAACAGCACTGAATTCCTTCTCGTGTTCATGTGCAGGTGTCCTGCCGCTGCAAAGAGGCCTCAGGCTTCTCAACCAGGGAAACCGAGGCTGGGCCAGGCCGGCACCCACGCCCAGCATGTGGCAGCGGCGCTCGGGCCTGTGTGTGTGTCACTGGGCCTCGTCCTCCTGCCCCAGCGGCCGCCCTGCCTGACACCAGGACCCCGACTCCACTCACCTCGAAGGTTTTCACCATCCTCTTGGTCACGGCGAAGATGGGCTGGATGTTGCTTTCGGCCAGTTTGTGCGCCAGCTGGCCCACCGACGGGTAGTCCTGGGAGAGGAGACGCCCGGTCAGCCGGGCCCACCAGCCCCTCCCGCCCGTGGAAGCCACTTCCCTGGGCCCAGAGGGCGCAGCCCGGCCCAGCCTTGGCCCTTCCTGGAGCTGCTGGTGGTGCCTCCTCTGAGGAGGGTGCACGGATGCACGGCTGGCGGGATGATGGGGGACCAGTCAGACTGAGATGCAGCTGAGAAGGTGTGGACACTGTGAGCTCCTCGACCAACGCAGTGACAAGGAAACCTAGTGGCACAGCTGCGCCCGGACTGTTGCGGCCAACAGTAGTGCGGGGGGCGTTTGGAGGGGTCTGTGCGGGGCGCTGGGGGATGGGCAGATGCCCCCCCACGCGGCACCTGCGCTCCTCACTGAAGGGCCCTCGTTCCGGCAGAGGCCCCTGCACGGAGGTGGCGCTCGCTCCCGCCCAAGGTCACGGCCTGGAGAGCTCCCGCCCCCCTGCCCTGCAGGTGGGGGACCCGGGCTGTCATCTCTGAAGTCCTCTGTGGCCCCAGAGTCTGCGATTTCAGGACGTGTCGGCTCAGAGTCGCAGCCGGCAGGGACACCCCGGGCAGGACGGTGGCCTGGAGGCCAAGCCAGAGAGCTCCCACCTCTCTAGCCGTTTCCTCAGTGCCCTGCGGCCGCCCAGCCGGGCACTGCGGGTGTGGGGCCACGTGGGGGTCGGCCCTGGGCGGTCGCTGCCCCGACCCACGGGCCAGAGCAGACGCCCCTGCCACCCGCCAGGCCGCAGCAGGCGGGCGACCGCAGGGCCTGGTGCACGAGGGTGAGGCCGGGGCTCGGCGGGACCACCCAGCGCCTCCCCGGCCTGAGGCTGGTGCCCAGGGACCCAACATTGCCTCTAGGGGCTTCCGGAAATTTCCCCAAGGACGTGCTATTTAGGTTGGAAGGAGGCCCTGGCTGTGTCGAGGTGCTGACCCTGCGCTCGTCACCACGTAAATGGCCAGTGGCCACAGGGCCTCCCACCCTGAGGGTCTCGGCCTCTGTCCCGCCCCTGCGCTCGCCACCCCGTAAATGGCCAGTGGCCACAGGGCCTCCCACCCTGAGGGTCTGGGGAGGCAGCGCCATGGAGGACGCGGGGGAGGGGCGCTCACAAATGCGTTGCTGCTCTTGTACATGTTGTCCTCCAGGTGGCAGCGGCCATCGTTGGGGGTCAGGATGGCACCCAGCTTCCCGTCGCCCGCAAAGTGGAAGCCGTTGTCCGTGGTGAACACCAGCAGCCGGGTGACATTGCGCCAGCCAATTTCTTCCTGGGGAGAAAATGTGAGGAAGGGGAGGGGTCACCTGCCTCGGTTTCCCCCCTGTGCTCCTACACAGCCGGAAGGAGATGAGGCAGAGGCAGCAGTGGCCCGAGGCTGGTGGGCCTGGCCCAGGTCTGCACAGCCGCTGAGACGGCTGGAGAGCGGACCCTGCCCGGCTGGCCTCACGTCCGGGGTCCCCGTGTCTGGCCAGACACTGGCGCCCAGCGGGAGCCTGGGAAACGTCTGCTGAGTCGGCCACTCCCAGGCGCCCATCAGCACGCTCGTGTGGCGAGGAGAGTGGACATGCGTGTTCACGGCTGAGAAGGGCTGGGTCCCCTGCAGCGCCAGCATCCAGTCCTGCACACGAATCCTGGGAGGTCGCCCCAGGAAGAAACCGAGTCGGTGCAGAGTGCTGGGCCGGTGGCATGGGCTGCGAGAAGCAAGAACCTGGGGACTGCGGCTGGGAGCTGAGGTTGCCACGGACACCACTCGAAGGCGTGTTTGGGGGAACTCGTGTCTTAGACTGTGACCTCACACGTGTGAGCACAGTGTGCATCTGCGCCAGGACCCAGCACGCCCAGGGCCCACAGGGGAAGGCAAGGACGGTGCGTGACCTGCATCACGGGCCCACGTGATTGTGGCCGTTCTGTCATGAGCACCGTCCACGGACAGAGTGGGCGAGGATGTGGGTGAGGGGCACGTGCCCAGGACCAGTGCTGCCACACGTGTAATGTTCAGGCTTCAGAAGATGCGTCTGGGCCACACACGTGATCCACAGCTCACAGTGACAGTGCGGGGGATGTCCAGGCCCTGCTGCCACTGGCCCCCCTCGCTGTCCGCCTGGGGGGCTGGGAGTTGACTTGAGGGGGCGGCTCTCCCCAGGCCCAGGCTGGGGTGTGGTGGGCGGGGCACAGGCCCTGGGCTTCAGTCCCTAAGGTGATCCCCACTTGACCAAGGCTCCAGGTCAGGGAAATCGGAGTCCTGCGCGGGGGCGTGGCCTTACCGGGCAGGCGGCAACCTGCATCATGGCGTCCAGCCCTCCCCCAGGGGCGTCCTGGTTTCCGGAGATCAGCTGCTTCCCGACCTCGGTCTGGAACTGGTCGGCGTTGCTGGTCAGCTTCAGCACGTGCCTGAAGGTCTTGTTTGCCAAGGACCCGAAGCCTGAGGGGTGCACAGGTGAGGCTGGGGAGGTGGCAGGCTGGCCCCGGACAGGGAGGCCAGCGGGTGGCATGGGGACAGAGCCTGTTTCCCTGTCTCATAGCAGGGAGAAAGCAGGATGGCCCATGAGTGTGTGTGTTCTGCAGGCATGCATGTGTACGTGTGTGTGTTTTATGTGCATGTGAGCCTGTGAGTGTGTGATCATGCACAGTGTGAGCAAAAATGTGTGTTCGCGCATGCATGGTAGTTTGCGCATGCACACGCATGGTCTCATACATGGGGCATGACTGTGTGAACCTGTGCATGCACACATGTGGGTATGTATGTGGCATGTAAATGTGTGAGCACAAGCATGTGTGCATGTGAGCGTGTGCATGAGCAGCTGTGTGAGCGAGCATCCACGTGTCTGAGTGTGCATTGTGCGTCCTGGACACGGAGAAGGCAGCGGAGTGCTGTTCTGGGAGCGGCACTGGTGGGTGAGAGGGTCCCTCGTCCCCGACGCGTGTGCGCTGAGACCTGCACTTTGCACACGAGTCAGGGCGCGCTTCTGGGGCCTTTAATGCTCAGTAATTAGCATTACTCAAACGTGAGACGTTTGCATTTTAAACACAGCGAACAGCAACACAAGCAGGGGAAGAGGAGGGGGGCCGGGCGAAGTCTGCGGTCTCGGGGGCCAGTGGCTGGTCGTGTCCCTGGCGGGGACGCAGGCCCCACCGCAGCCCCGCGGGCGCCCTGGGGGAGGGGTGTGTCGGAGCCCCCAGCCCTGGCCCCAGGCACCTGCCCGAGGCGTGTGGGCGGCAGGGCAGCCGGGGACGGGGAGGACGAGCCGGGCCGGAGGGCCGTGGGCTCACCGATCTGGCCGGACTCCGTGATCTCGTTGAGGGCGCGGAGCAGGTCGCCGCCCAGCTTCCTGACGTTGATGAGGTCGTCCAGCATGGAGTAGGAGAGGTCCATCAGGTAGTACAGGTCCACGGGGTAGCCCTTGGCGCGCCGGAAGGTCACGTTGAACGCGGCCGCCTGACCTGCCGGCGGGGACGCCAGAGTGGGGCCCAGGCCCGCGCCCACGCGCTCTCCGCAGTCCAAACCCCGCGGACGCCCTCCCGAGCCCGGCAGGGGGGTGAGGGTCAGACACAGGACGCCCGGGGGGCACCACGGTGGTCCCACAGAGTCTAATTCCATGTCCCCTGCACCTTCCCGTGTCTGGACGTGGCTGATGCACGGGGCCCGCCCCGTGTCGCAGTGGCCCGCAGCGACCAGCGCCGTCACCTGCCTCACAGGCGCGTGGCCCGGGAGCGACACACACCACACAGCCAGGCGTGCGGCGGCCACGCCATCTAGGCTCGCGTGGGTGCCCCCGTGACAGTGCGCAGGGAGACACCCCGCATCCCCGTCCCGAGTGGCAGACTGCACAAGAACGTCCGTGCGTCCTGGCCCGAGTGCTCGTGTCCCCAGAGTTCACGCGCTGAGATCCTCATGCCTGAGGAGACAGCCCGCATCCCCGTCCCCCAGTGGCAGACTGCACAAGAACGTCCGTGCGTCCTGGCCCGAGTGCTCACGTCCCCAGAGTTCACGCGCTGAGATCCTCACGCCCCAGGAGATGGTGTTAGGAGGTGGGGACACCAGGGCAGGGGTCGG